GAAGAAGAAGAAGAAGAAAAAAACAAAAAACAAAAAAAAAAAAACAAAAAAAAAAACGGCATAAACATTCACTTGTGGCGCTCTGCGCAGATTTCCTGGATCTGCGCTGGACCCCCCTCCCTGGCACGCGCGGAGCGCGCGAGGGGCGGCGCCGGAGGCGCCGCCAGGGGGCCCCAGCGCCGATCCGAGAAATCCGCGCAGACCTCCGAGCTTTTATGATTATGTCACTGATCGTTCCCCTATCAATGGCAACATCGAGCCAACGACCAGCATCAGGGTTTGCGCAGGTCTCTGGGGTATCGTGGGCGGCCAAGAGGGGGGCGTCCAAGAGGGGGGAGCGCGTATCATGGCCGGCGGCATGTGCGCGGCCAAGGGGGGGGCTGGGGATGCAATGAAACAAGAAGAGGCGCCATGACATCTGACGAAATGTCATGCCCCAGGCCATGATATCCTAAAACAGGGCTAGGATCGGGATAAATCGCTCCAGAGCGTCCCGGAGCGCTCTCAGAGCGTTCCGGAACGCTCTGGAGCGGCCGCGGCGCCCCATACATCCTCCAAACCCGCCGACTCTCAGAGATTTCGGGTTATCCCGATCCGATGTTGTCCCGATCCTCGCGTCGTTTTATATCCACCCTCCCCCCTAGTCGTCGCCCCCCTCTTTGCCGCCCCCGAAGTTATGGCGCAAAGGGGAAGTTTAGAATCCGCCTGGGCACGCCGCGGCGCGCGGGCGGCAGCCGTGCTCCCGGCGGAGCTGCCGCTGCCCAAATGCCTATCAAGTAATAACTCGCGTTGGAGACACCATGCCGGGGAACTTGGACGCCCGAGTTATCCGGGGTAACTCGGGTCCGGGGTAACTCGGGTTTGGGTTCCCGAAAAACGAACCCGAGTTAGCCCTGACCCGAGTTACCCCTGATGATTCGGGGCCCTGGACGCCCGAAATATCCGGGGTAACTCGGGTCCGGGGTAACTCGGGTTTGGATTCCCGAAAAACGAACCCGAGTTAACCCTGACCCGAGTTACCCCTGATGATTCGGGGCTCTGAGGAACTGCCGCACACGAACCTATCACCTACAACCTATTAAAACAAAAATCGAGGAGCTCCTGCTCTAAAGGCCGACTTTCCTCACGCGGCTTGCTCTTGGAATTACCTTGGTAGAACAAAACTGCCAGAGGCGCCCAGAACAGGTCGGCACACCAACGACCAGAAATATCTCGTTGCTGCTGCCGTCGCGAGGTGTGAATTCGAGTTGAACACGCGGCCGCCGAGCTGCCAAACTGTGCAACATTTTTTTGAAATGGATATCCAATCAAAAACACTGCACAACGTCCTTGACACCTTGAATATCTCGTTATACCTGCAAACGTGAAAACGATATCATAGAACAAACAAGACAATAAACGATTGCTGGTGACTGTAAGTCGGATTGCTGTATTGCGAGATTTACACGAGGATTTTCTGTCGACGACCTATGTCGCGCAGAATTTGTTGAACACGAGCACATGCAAAATGAATTTGCTGAGTCGCCTTGAAAAGTCGCATGACCTGTAGTTGATATGTTTATAAGTATATATATATGCCGGTATTGACACAGGCAGGCTGTTGTCATATCAGTCGCGAATTCGCGGCTGAAATCCACAAACAACTGATGTAGCGCACAATAGTACGCGGCCAAATTCATGAGATCGTCACTCGGGGGGCTCGTCACTGTCGAGCAGGACTGGCACCGAGGTGGCAGGCGCCACCGCCACCAAAATCACTACCTGGAGAACGTCCGAGAGGAATGCCTTCGTCACGTACATGTCAACCTTGCAGGTGAAGTCCGGTTTCCTGGGTTCGCCCTTAAATCTATTCGAAGTGATGTCGCGTCGTCCGTGCAATCACGCCGTCGTTGATGGATGTGGCTGGCGCGTGGACCTCCTCAGCAAAAATATCCGACATGGAGCCGTGGACGAGCAGGAGTTTCGAGACCGTTGGGTCTGTTTCCTGGTTGATTGCAGCCGGACGCCAGCGCAAGACTATCACAGGAAGGCGCGCGGGCAATCAGCACCTTGCCCCAGATTGGCTGCGAAAGGAGGAGGAGGAGGGAAGAAAGGGAGGGGAGGGGGGGACAGGAGAGAGGTAGGGACAGAAGGACAGTGGTAGGCCAGGGGAAGACGGGGAGAGCGTCGAGGATGGGAGTGAAGGGATGAGGCGGGGGCAGGGGAGAACAAGAGGCGAGCAATGGCACGCGTACCCCTTTGCCTCCTGATCCGCCTCGTCGGCATCTCTGATCTCGTCCTGGCCTGCATCCTGTCAGGCCAGTCGTCGGAAGCGTTCCTCATTTGTCAGCTTCGCGATCAGGGACGCCTTGCCATTCCGAGACCATGACGCCGACAGGATGTCCCCTTCCATCCATCAACACGTCGTCATCCGCGTCGTCTGTGTCCGGCGTGGTCCCATCCACCGTCATCACATGCACCGCACCTTGGCATACGGGCCTGGACTGATGAGGACGCTTCATGAAACGTCCAGGCCTGCGATTGCCACTGAAGCCCAGCTGGTCAGGGTTCCGCTTGGGCTTCTCGGGCAAATTCTGCCTAAAATGACAAACCTTACGACAGAGGAAGCAGTTGCTTCGGTCCGTGAATCGCTGGAGGTTGCCTCGTGATTGCGAGCCACGCTGCAATTCCTCTCTTGCCATCGCTGTCCACGTCTCTTTCCAAGTAACCGATCTGTCGATTGCGCTTTCCTCATATGTCGGAACATCGTCCTCCAGTAGCTCATTGATCTCCGCCTCGAGGTCATCTGGAACTGCTTCTGCCTCTGATGCCAGAAACCACGGTGGCGGTGGCTCTGGCCATTCGTCGTTCTCTGGAATCGCCTCGTGGATATCGGTTGTCGGCATCTGCCTCCGGTACGCTGTGCGAATGGCAGCCGACATCTCCGCGAAGCCCCCATTGTCGTTGATTCGCTGCTAACACCACCGCCTGGCGCTCCAAGCCGAGCCTGGCTCCCCACAGGAGCAGGAACCCCTGAGCCACTGCTGGGAACTCCACCCATTCCTTCCTCGCGCTGGCGAACACGGTGCGAGCTCTCCCTGTGCACGCGGAAGAGGTCTCGCCGCACTCGATGGTCAGGCCAATCACACTCTCAAGAGCAGCTCCAATCCTGTCGCTGGGCTCCTTGTCCGAAAACCACTCGTCCAAGGCGCGGAAGAGAGCCAGCTCGCCGCGCGGCTGATCGATGTCCGTGAGCTCGGGACGTTCGCATGCCTTCTCCGCCTCATCATCTAGGAGGGTCAGCACCAAGGGACCGACCGCTTCTGGTGGCATGCCTCGTCGAACCTACACCCTGCGAAATGCTTTAGAAATCATGGGTTAAGAAATTCAGAGTCTCAGAACTTGAATAAAAATCCAACATTTCCATTATAATCTTAAGATTTACATTGAAATATTAAGAATAATCGAGACTCTGGCCGAAAACTTAGGTTTTCTTAAGCATCGCCTAAGGTGTACACGGCTAGCTCGGCCCCGATCCAACGCCCGCAGCTCTTGAACTCCGAAACTGCGCCGTTGCCTTTGCCAGACAAGCGTCGCCACTGCCCAGCACCACCACCGTGAGCCGATCCGTCGGCCATCGTCCTCGATGGAAGACTCAACCTGGCTCAAGATCAATGCAAATCCTGCGATTCACCCTCGGCTCCGCAGCCTCCTCCTCCTCCTCCTCCTCCTCCTACATCCACCTCCTCCTCCTCCTCCAACTCCTCCTCCTCCACCTCCTCCTCCTCCTCCTCCTCCTCTTCCTCCTCCTCCTCCTCCTCTTCCTCCTCCTCATCATCATCATCAGCAGCAGCAGCATCCGCAGCAGCAGCATCGTCAGCGTCATCAGCGACATCATCATGATCATCATCATCAGCAGCAGCATCATCAGCATCATCATCATCAGCGTCAACATCAGCATCATCATCCTGATCACCATGACCATCATCATCATCATCATCATCATCATCATCAGCAGCAGCAGCATCGTCATATTCGTCGTCATCATCATCAACAGCAGCAGCATCATCATAACCACCACAAGTATCAACATCATCATCAGCATCATCATCGCAGTCATCATCATCATCATCATCAGCAGCATCATCAACATCAACATCATCGGCAGCAGCATCAGCATCATCACCAGCAGCAGCAGCCGCAGTCGCAGCATCCTCATCATCATCATCATCATCAGCAGCAGCATCACCATCACACTATCACCACCAATATCACCACAACCATCATCATCAGCAGCATCAGCATCTCCATCTCCAGCGCCATCACCATCACCATCAGCATCAGCATCACAAGCACCACCAACATCAACATCAGCATCGTCAGCAACAACAACAACATCATCAGCATCATCAGCATCATCGTCAGCTACATCGTCAACAACAGCATCACCATCATCATCCTCATACTAATCATCCTCGTCCTCATCATTATCATCAACAGAAGCATCATCATCACCACCATCATCATTTCCATCATCATCAGCAGCAGCATCATCAGCATCAGCAGCATCATCATCAGCATCAGCATCAGCATCGTCATCATCAGCCTCATCCTCATCATCATCATCATCAACATCACCATCATCATCATCATAATCATCATCATCACCATCATCATCATCATCATCATCATCATCACCATCATCATCCTCGTCCTCGTCCTCATCCGCATCCTGACCCTCATCCTTCTCTCTCCGTCCCCTCCCCTTCCTCATTCTTTTCTCGCCTCCCCCTCTCCTCCACCTTCGCTCCCTCCTCCTCCTCCTCCTCCTCCTCCTCCTCCTCCTACTCCCCCTTCCCCCCTTCCCCTCCTCCTCCTCCTCCTCCTCCTCCTCCTCCTCCTCCCCCTCCTCCTCCTCCTCCTCCTCCTCCTCCTCCTCCTCCTCCTCCTCCCCCCCCCGCTCTGGAGGCCTCTGGCCCTGCGCGCAGGGGGCGGGGGCCCCGGCCGCGACACCGCGGCGCCTTCGGCCCCCCGAGCTCCCCGGAGTAGGCCCGCCGCCTGGCCGGGGCGGCGCGCCCGCGCGCGAGAGGGCGGAGAGCAGCGCAGGCAGTGGGAGGGGGAGGGCGGCGGCGGACGATGGCAGCGTCGCGAAGACGTGCTCAACGCAGAGGGGGAAGGAGGGAGGAGGGAGGAGGGAGGAAAAAGGAAAAGGGGGAGGGAAAAATAAAGAGAGCGAGGGTGGAAAAGGAGGGAGGAAAGAGGGGAGGGGTGAAGAGGAGGGAGCCGGCAGGAGGAGGGATGGGGGGAGGGGGGGGGGGGAAGAGGGAGGGGGGAGTGGCAAGCTAGGTGCGCTCGCGTCATATCTGACGTACTACCCCTCCCGCCCATCCCTTACCATGGCGCAGATCTCCTCTCTATTCGCACAGTCGGATGTCGAGCAGGGCACTGATCCCGAGAGGGTGCGCGATGCATTGTAGAGCACGGCATAGCAGGGCGTAGAAGAGCACGGCAGAGCGTAGTATGTCATAGCTTGGCGTGGCGTTGCGTAGTGAAGAATTGCATCACAAATGCCACGCAAAGCATGGCATCGCACTGCGGCACAGAAGAGAAAATGGCATAGCGTGGCATTAAAGATCAAAGCGTCGTGCATGGCACAGCATGGCATGGCACTGCGTAGTCGAGCTCTGCATATCCTAGCATTGTAACTGAAGGCATGGCATCGCACAGCAGGACACCGCATAGCATTGCATTGCATGCCCTGGCATGACACTTGAAATAATGACGCCAACGCTGCAGCGGGAGCAAGATTCGGAACGAGCGGAAGCGCGGAATTGAGGCCAGCGCTGCAGCGGGAGCACGATTCGGAACGAGCGGAAGCGCGGAAATGAGGCCAGCGATGCAGCGGGAGCACGATTCGGAACGAGCGGAACCCCACAAATGAGGCCAGCGCTTCAGCGGCAGCACATTGTGGACGAAGAAAAAACGATTCCCGGGAATCATGTGTAAAAAACAATACACGGAGGAGGGCCGAACATCTTCTGGACGTCATCAGGGGAGAGAGGAGACTGGTATTCATATTGTGTGACTCCAGGAGGGAAGCGGTAGGAGGAGACAGGAGGCAGGAAAGAGGAGGGAGGAAGAGGGCGCGAGGGCTGGAGAGCTCGGTGGTGCGGCGAGCACCGACAGGGTGAGGCCCCGAAAAGGGAAAATTATAGAGCGAGCCCGAACGGCCCGAGAACCAAGAGAAGCATAATTCAGGTCTTGCATGGTGCCAGCCAACTTCAAAATCCGAACCACAACTTTCAGAGCGGTCGTGACCACCTGGGCCCGCATAGCTGGCTCACTCTCGCCAAGCAGATTCTTCGGTTGGAGACAACGCCCCTCAGCGCCGCCTTATCAGCCTCGCGCAAGATGGAGATGGCTGGCAGCTCGCACGACGATACGACCCCAACAAGAACCACGCAGTGCCCAGAGCAGGAGGATTAAGCAGACTGAGCCCATGAAGAAGTTGGTTGCCTCCCTGCAGGAGTTCGGAGGTTTTGGTCGCAGGATTGTGAAACAGCAAGAGGCGCGTCTGGTTTGCAGGCTCTTGGCAGGCTTGACTTTTCAGCACGGTGTGTCTTCCATTGTTGAAAAGGCGGATGCGTATCACGCTGAGCTCGACAGGGCTAGCGAACGGCAGTGGAATGAGTTTGTGAGCAAAGCGTTTCTCAATGGCACTGGCAAGGCACATCGGCTCACGCGACTTAAGGCGCTGCAAGCCAATCGTATGGACACGCAGCGCATGCAACCATATCAAATGGCTGATGATGATATGTGGAAACGGTGAAGTACATGGACATGTCATGATACGCAGCGCATGCAAGTACCACATGATCACCGTGCATGGCTGCCGTTGCCTTTTATGTCTGCGCATTGCGTGCGTGAAGCTATAGACCTCACGGAAGAAGGCCACAGGGCCGACCATGATCCATCCACGTGCTTCTGGACATGTATCTGAGTTAGGGCTGCAGACAGTGGCAGAATTGTATGCAGCGTGGGCGGCTGCTTATGTGGCCAGGGGATCGGATAGTTGATGAGATGGTTCGGATCGGTAAACCTGATAAAGGGGACTCGCCTCATCACCCTGGTCGATAGCCTTGTTCGACTCTGGTCCGGGATCCGTCGGCAAGCCGTCATGTCTGGGGGGATCGTCGGGCGTTCTCGTCTCCATGTGCAGCATATGAGCAAAATCGCCAAGCTGAAGTTGCACACAGACTAGGAGAACACTCGGTCAAAATCGTATTAGAGAAATGTTTCGAAACGGTGCTCTTCCCAGCCCTGATGTGCGAAGCTGTACGTTAACAATACCCTTCAAGGCTATGGGTCATCAAGACATATGACTGTTGGTGGAGTTTGCCCGCGACGGCTACGCAAGGTATCCTAGCGGGCTGCGCGCATGCGACCACGCTCCTGAATTGATTGACGCCCCGCGCCACGACCAAGATACACCAGAGGCATTCGCCAGTTATGCCTAGGGCAGTGGTTGATGACAGTACCTTTCAGAAGACGGGGAGTATCTGGAGTGAAGCTTCGGAGCTTTCGGAAGCGGTCAACGAGATCAAGAATGACGTTCGGGGATGTGGGCTCACTGTGCAACCTGAAAAGTCTCGGTCTGCTTCTAGTTCCAGATCTGCTTGGAAGTCGTTTGATCACCGTGCGAAGCTGCTGCGGCTCACGGCCAAGAAATGGATGAGAATTCTTGGGCACGAAACTTCGGCTTGCAAGCCAGTCCTGAAACAAGCGGCCAAGAGAATCAGCAAGGTGTCCGCCAGAATGCCACGTGCACTCATGGTGCGCAAGAATGCTGGTGTGCAGGCGACGGCGCTCTGGAGGGCAGGCCTTCTTCCTGCTGCTGCACATGGTGCTTGCATCTGGAGCATCAGAGCAGGAGCTTTGCAAGTCACGTCGCACTGCTGGAATGGTCTGTGATAGGACTTCCACGGCAACTTCGCTTACGCTAGTGTGAGATGTATGATCCTGTGTTTCTGGCTGCGTTGGAGCCTGTCGAAGCGTGTTCTAGCTTTGCCTGGGATCAGAGAGATTCCTTGGGGCGTCTGCAACGGGCTTGGGATTCGGTCAATCGGCAGCTGAACTTGAAAGCCTCCTGGAATGATGCTCGGGGACCTAAGTCTACGTTGTGGCTTACGATAGATCGGATTGAGGGCGGGTCGCTCGTTCTCAAAATGTGACTCTCGCCTTGGCTCCGCGCACATTCGATGTCAACCTCCTCGAGAAATTCACGGATTGAGGGCGGGTCGTTTTCAAAATGTGGCTCTTGCCTTCGCGCCTTGCACATTCGCTTGTTTATGCAAGAGTTTCACGGTTTGAAGGCGGATCCTTTTCAAAATGTGAACTCGTTGTAAAACATTGCAAGAGGCTTCACGGATTGAGGGCGGGTTGTTTTCAAAATGTGGCGCTCGCCTCAGCGCCGCGAACATTATTTTCAAACATTTGCAAGCAGTTTACGGATTGAGGGCGGTTCCTTTTCAAAATGTGGCTCTCGCATAAGCGCCGCGCACATTCGTCTACAAACTTTACAAGTGTTCTACGGATTCCCATCAGCAGCGTACCAGAAATCGTGTTTCGGAAAGATTCAAGGTTATGCGGTTGCAACCGTTATGTTGATTCACGGTGTTGAAGTCCCAAACATGGCATTCCGGAACACTTACGGATCGTCAAGACGCAGCAATCCGGTTGATCCGGGGGGGTGAAGTCTCGAGAACACTGTTTTGACAAGCTTCAGGATCTTCAAGCGGTTGTCTCCCATCGGGGAAATTCGCTCAATGGGAATGAACCGTGATAGGGGCCTGTGAAGAGGGGGCTTGGAGGGAATATTTATTCCAACATCTTTGACGACTCTTGGGTTTACATTGGTTCTCCTCCTCCGCCTCCTCCTCCACCACACTCCTCCGCACACCTCCGCACTCCTCCTCACTCCTCCTCACTGGTCCTCACTCATCCTCACTCATCCTCCTCCTTCTCCTCCTCCTCCTCCTCCTCCTCGTTCCTCATTCCTCCTCGGCAGTGGTCCTCCTCCTCCTCCTCCTCCTCCTCCTCCTCCTCCTCCTCCTCCTCCTCCCCTCCCTCCTCCTCCTCCTCTCCTCCTCCTAGCTCCTCCCTCCTCCTCCTCCTCCTCCTCCTCCTCCTCCTCCTCCTCCTCCTCCTCATCATCATCATCACATCATCATCATCATCATCATCATCATCATCAGCATCAGCATCAGCATCAGCATCAGCATCAGCATCAGCATCAGCATCAGCATCAGCATCATCATCATCATCATCATCATCATCATCATCATCATCATCATATCGTCATCGTCATCATCATCATCATCATCATCATCATCATCATCATCATCATCATCATCATCATCATCATCATCCTCTGCCTCTGCCGACGCCGCCGCCGCCGCCCGCCGCCGCATCCTCCGCCTCCGCCTCTGCCTCCACCTCCGCGTTCTCCTACTCCCTCCCTCCCTCCCGCCATCCCTCCCTCCCTCGCTCCCCTCCCTCCCTACCCCTCCTCCTCCTCATCATCATCATCATCATCCTCCTTCTCCTCGTCGTCCTTCTCCTCCTCCTCCTCGTCCTCCTCCTCCTCCTCCTCCTCCTCCTCCTCCTCCTGGCACCTGTGCCACTGGGTGCCCTCGGGCGTCCCAGAAAAACAGAAGGGTTGCAGCCAGATCGTCACCCCTGTTTGCCCGTATTGGGGCCAGGGGGAAAAAAATGCGCCTCGTCGCCATGTGTTCCCACTTCTTGCGGTGGCCCGGCACGCACACCGCGTGCGCCTGGGCGGGTGGGGGGTCCCCTGCCAGGGGCTCATGGTGGATCCACACCCATAATTCCCACGGCCAGGATCACCCGCCCTGGCGTGCGTGGGGGTGTGCGGTCGCCCGAGGGAGTGGCGCCCCTCGGGTGGCTTATCGGGGCGGCACGCCGAGAGGCGTGTCGCTACGTGAGGGCAGTGCGCCCGCCGCCTCGGAATTGTCAGAACGCGCGGCGCGCCAAGGTGCGTGCTGCGCGCGGCGCGCCAAGGTGCGTGTTGCTTGATCCGCCCTTGGTAGTTTGGCCAGGAAGGAGTGAACAGCTTGATGATGGAGGGACTCATTTGGCGGCATCACGTTTTCCCGCGTTCCACAAGCTTCTTGGCGGGCTCAACGAGTGGGCACCCTGTCCCTCGTAGCCGCGCTGCTCATCGTGTTCGGGGGGTGCTTCTTTTAAAAACACTCTTGTGATGGCGGACATCCTGGAAATTCTCCTCCTCCTCCTCCTCCTCCTCCTCCTCCTCCTCCTCCTCCTCCTCCTCCTCCTCCTCCTCCTCCTCCTCCTCCTCCTCCCGTGAGTCCTGCGAGTCCCGTGAGTCCCGCGAGTCCCCCCGCGAGCTCCGCGACGGGCGAAGAGCACCCCCCCTCGAGTCCGCGACGCCCACACCGAGCGCCTCGGCCCTCGAGGGACCGCGAGGCGCGCCGCGCGGCATCTCTGCGAGTCTGCCGAGGGGCCCCGCTGGTGGGCGCCGAGGCCGGCGGCGCCGCCGCCAGGGCGGCGCCGTTCGCCCGCCCTCGGCGCCAGCGGCGCCAGCACGCGGCGGACGAGGACGCCGAGGCGCCAGATGGCATATCTGCTGGCCCGCCCCGGCCGAACAAGTGAGCGCCGTGGGCGTCGCCTCATGGACGGGGGGGGGGGGGGGGGGCGATACGTGGGCGGAGGGGGAATGAGGCACAGTTCAGGCCCCAGATGCCCCGTCTTGGGCCCTGAAGGGCGCCTTCAGGGTCCCCGAAGGGCTCCTCTTTCTGCAGCCCTCGCTGCCCCAGTGATCGCCCCCCCCCCACTACGCTCAGGTCAGGCATGTCCTCCTAGAGGGGAATTCTGGAGGAGGAAGCATGAAAACATAATCGATAAATGCTCAAGCATGATCGTCCCCATACTGTGTTTTTACTATTTTCGAATGTCCCCCCTGTAGGGGGACATGCCCGACTTCACACTGCGCGACGCCCAAGCGCCGCGGCGGGCGGCGCTGCCCGCAGAGAGGAGGGCCCAGCCGCCCCCCGCCCTTCCGGCTGCTGCCACTCCCCCCCGTGCCTCGCACGGGTCGAAGTCGCTGGACGCGTTCGGCTCCCGTTGGGGCTCCCGGAGGCCCGCGGAGGCCCCCTTCCTGAGGAGGAGGAGGAGGAGGAGGAGGAGGAGGAGGAGCAGGAGAAAGAGGAGGAAGACCACTGCCGTTGCCCCACGTGCCGTGCACCATGCCACTGCCGAGATCTCCCGAGAGCCTCACGGCGCGGCGCTGCCGTGGCGACAGCACCAGGGAGAGCCTCATCGTGCTGCGGCTCCGGGGATGCTGCAAGGTGTGATGGCGAGTGGGGGCGCCGGTGCCCCGGGGACACCACTGAAGCCAGAACGGCTTGACCTCACATGGCCCACGGCAAGGTAGCTACTGGGCGGATCAGGCAGATATGGAGTCCTCATCGCCAGCTGTCCTCGTCCTCCTTCTCCTGTCCTGTTCCCGTTCTTCCTTGTCCTCCTTCTCGGGCTGCGCCTGGAACGAGTGGCCCCACGGGATTTTCGCCCGGTGGGACTGCTCCGCAGGCAGGGGCTGCTCAGAGGAAGCAAGGTGAACAACGACGTTGGCCACACAGAAGGCAATACTAGTATGATGCTCCAACCTCCTTTAGCCTCGATCACCAGAGAGAATTTCGAGCACCAAAATAATACCCCAAACTCAAGGGGTTTCACATGTCGGGCCCTGGGAGACACTTGTTTGACACTGTTTCGACACTGTTCTGACACTCTTTCGACACCTTTCCGGGTGCTCGAAACTGCTTCTGGGATGGGGCCCTGAAGCAAGAAGGGAACAACATCACACTAGCACTCACAGGAGACGGCAGCAGGCAGGAGCGGGGGCACACTTGAGCGGCGCAGGCGATGGGGAAGAGGAGAGCGCGACGCCAGGAGACGGCGACGGCGAGGGTGAGAGTGAAGGGGCCCCAGGACACACAAATAAATACACACAAATAAAAATAATCCCCATATTTTCCCATATTTTCTGGGTTTTTGTCTTCCCCCCCACTTCCCATATTTTCCCATATTTTCTGGGGAATCGCCGATTAATTGTGTCTGTGTGTTTCTTTTCCTCCTGAGAGAGCGCCGGACCCAGCGGCGCCGGCGCCGGGTGACGAAACCGACGACGGCAGCCCATCCAGCTCCCCCCGCGCTGTGCAGGCTGCTGGCTTCAGCAGAGCGGGCGCTCACGAAAGCAGGCCGCGGCGAGAGCGCAGAGGAAGGAGAGGAGGAGGAGGAGGAGGAGGAGGAGGAGGAGGAGGAGGAGGAGGAGGAGGGGGTATTGAGGCAGGGCGGGGCGAACAGTGAAAGCGAGAGACGCAAGCGAACCAGTCGGATGGATAGGAGCCGCCAGTGATGCTAAGATAGAGGCCTCCTGGATGGGGTCGGAGTAGACGGGGTCAGGGGATCGCGCCGCATTGCCGATGCATCGGCGATGCATCGGCGATGCGCTGGCGGCGTCGGCGATGCATTGGCGACGTCCGCGTGGAGCAATCGGGCTCCGCATCGAGCCGCGTGGGCGATGCATCGACGACGCGGTACAATCCACCGACACCATCTGCTCGGACCCCATCTGCTCGGACCCCATCTTGGAGGCCTGGGTACAAGGACACCGCGTGGAGCAGGGGAGGCGGTCCAGTGCCGGGGCGGACGAAGGCCTGAACACCAACAGCATCACGCAGCACAGCGCGCCGATCGTGAAAACCAAGACGCTAAAACCTGCAAGCATCGCGTCCGTCCTCTCGCCCAACCCAGGCCCACCATCATCACTTCCTCCTCACTCCTCCTCACTCCTCCTCACTCCTCACTCCTCACTCCTCACTCCCCCTCCTCATCCTCCTCCTCCGCCTCCGCCGCCTCCGCCGCCTCCGCCTCCGCCTCCGCCTCCGCCTCCGCCTCCTCCTCCTCCTCCTCCTCCTCCTCATCTTCCTCCTCCTCTGCATCCTCTGTCTCCTCTGCATCTGCCTAAGTCACCGTACGAGCAGCACGTGCGCGACCAGGCTCACGCAGCACAAAGCGGGGCACGATTGTGCCAGAGCTGGCAATTTGAGCTAGCGCGAAAGCTGAAATCCCACCAGCCCTCTGGGCGACTCTTCCCAACCCCGTCCTCACACGTCGGGGGAGGGGGGAATTCCCCCTGTGGGCCTCTTCGGGGCCCCTGGGGGCCTCTGGTGCCGTTTTGAGTCACTCCCTGGCCCAGTCCTGGGCCTCTCTCGCGGCCATCTTGAAGGCATCGCGAGGCCTCAAAGGCCCTTCACAGGCGAATAAGCGTGAGGGCACAAATCGCTGATGTCCTCGAGGTTTTGACGGAGATTGACCCCTTGGAAGCCCTTTTGGGGGAGTTTGGGGGGACATCCTTGACCGCCTTGACGTCTTGTTGGCCTTCTGTTGCGTTGTCGTGTAATGATTTGCTTGGCATCGTCTTGTGTGGGCGTCGTGGGCACTCTGGGGAGCGCCTGGGGCCCTTGTGGAGAAACGAGCACGCCGATGTCCTCGCCCAGAGTCGACTTGAGAGGCCAGCCCGCCTTGACAAGGAAAGCCCCCGCCCTGCGTTCTGGATCGTGGTTCCCCGAGCGGTCGGGGCGTACCAGATGGCCCTACATCGCCCACGATGGACCACAGGATCGCCCAGTGTATAGTCGAAATCACTATGGTAAGGACGGGCGGCAAGGACGCAGGGGTCTTGGACGCAGAAGTGGGCAATTCTTGCGCAGCGGACTGCTAACACCCTGAAAGGCTGGCCAGTGAAAACCGCGAAGGACGGGCCGCAGAGGCAGAGACGCAAGAGCACCCTAAGGATATCCGTGCATCCTTACTGTGAGTTTTGACTGTAGCCCGATGTTGAGCAAGATGTCCCACAACACGATTCCAGTAAGCTTGAAGACCACCACGAGACACCTCGAGGCGGCCACGGAGCCTCCCACGGATGTCTCCCCCACGGATATCCTCCGGATCGCCCCGTAGTCGCCGACCGGCCCCGAGGCCCCCAGGCGGTTGCCACACGTTGCCACATCGCCCACGATAGCTCACACAAGGTCCCCGACAGCCTCCCAAAGCGCCCCACGAGGGGCACAACGTAACCCCAAACGGCGACTGGGACACGACATATAATCGATGGCATACATGGTGAATCCAAGAGGGACCGAGAAACCCGCAAGACGGTCTGGACTGGGCCCAAGAGGGCCCCAAAAGGCCTCCATAGCACTGCCCCCGGAGAGACCCACCATCTTTACAAGAGGCCTCCACAAGGCTCCAAGAGGTTCCCAGACGTCTCTGAGGCCACCACTGTTGCGTTCTCAAATTTCCTTCCACGACAAACTCCTCAGAAACTCGATTCTGAACTGGCTGGCCCCCTCCCCCTCCCTCCTGGTCCAAGTCCTCCCTCCTCCCCCATCCCTCCTCCCTCCTCTCTCCCTCCCCTGCCCCTCCCTCATCGTCCAAGTCCTCCCCCCTCCCTCCTCCCCCCTCGCCCGTCGCCTTCGGAACCCCGGGGGGGAACTGAGCGACCCCGCGGGCACTGTGAATGCCACGCCCTGCGCCTCCCAGTAGAAGGCGCCGATCGTCCTGAGGGCCGGCTGCCATGGACGTTCCAGGGGAGGAGACCAGGAGGAGGGGGAGGAGGAGGAGGAGGAGGAGGAGGAGGAGGAGGAGGAGGAGGAGGAGGAGGAGGAGGAGGAGGAGGAGTGGCTACGTGCAAATGCGTCGTGATTCGTCTCCTGATATAGAGCTCCCCCAGGGTGTTTTGTTCTGCGATTCGTATGTTCAAACAAAGCGCCAGCGACAGCATGCCGAAAACAACGCCCATCCCTTTGCATGTCTTTCGAAGCGGTCGAAATGGCAACCGCCACCATAAACAAAAAACAAACAAACCAACACCACGTGCAACTCGCACTAACAAGCTGCAACGCGGCGCCGCGCCCTGGGGACCGCAAGCGCGCTGCAAATTCCAATGCCCACCAGCTCAAAAAAAATAGAACAAGTTGAAAACTGAGGGGCTCCAAAGAGGGGCCAAACACAGATATATGTTGTATATGTAACATGAAAAAAAAACAGAAGACATAAACGCCGCTGGAGGCCTCCATATCAGGAGACTGATCACGACGCGTATGCACATAGCCAGAGGAGGAGGAGGAGGAGGAGGAAGAGGAGGAGGAGGAGGAGGAGGAGGAGAGGGAGGAGGATGATGATGATGAGGAGGAGCATAAGAAAAGGAAAGGGAGAAGGAGGAGGAGGAGGACCAGGAGGAGGGCAAGGTAGGGGCGAGGGGGGCAGGAGGAGGCCTCCTCCCTCCCTCCTGCTCCTCACCCCTTCTCGGACCTCCTCGCGTCGTAAAGCAATCACGGCGGTCGGTTTGCCTTGTTCGGCCTCCGGGGGGCCCTTACCGGGCCTCGGGGCCGTCCACAAATTACCATAGATGAGCAACAGGTTCCAGGAAAGGGTCGCTGCTGACATCGGCATCTGGGATGCATCAGAAGGCCAGGTGGTCGGCCTAGAAATCGTCCAGCAGCCCGTCAAGCAGAAAAGACATCCCCGCCTAGAAGAACCGACCCCCGATCCAGAGTCTGGAACCGCGGTCGGTTCTGACCGGTGAGTCGTGGCCATCGTTGTTTTGCAGGTTCGGGGAACTCCCCCCCACCTGCAAGAACCGACGGCCGCTGAGAAATCTGAGCCCTGGTCGGTGCTCACAGGCGGGATTGTCTTTAGTGATGCTGTGGAGGACGAGGAAGGAGGGAGCCGACTGCCAGCTCTAGGCGGACACTGATCCTGACCGGGCCCAACCTTGGGTCCAGGATTGTTGTGTGCTCCTCCTCCGCCTCCTCCTCCTCCTCCTCCTTCCCTCGCTCCTCCTCCTCCTCCTCCTCCTCCTCGTCCTCCTCCCAGGCTGCGCAGCTTTGGGAGGGCCTGGCCGAGACCAGTGCCAGCCAACAGACGGCAGCTCCTGAAATCACAAGGCACTCGTTGGCAAGTCCTGCCTATTTGCCTAAACATGGCTACTGCTGCTGTGCAGTCCCTGCCACAGCCCGCCGCGGGAGGCAGCCGCGGGTGTCCATGGGATGCCCAGCCCGAGAAACACATTGACGGAGTTGCTGCCCGTGATGTTGCCTGGCCGCGCGGTGCCGTGCGGGGCCTCCCCAAGGGGGGCTGGAGGTACGCGGGGTCCCAGATCGCACAGCGGCTGCGACGTATCGGAAGAACACGGATGGAGGAGACCGGGCTCTCAGAGCGCGCCGCGTCGCCGATGTAACAACGAAACGGTGGTGGTACCGGTGGGCCCTGATGGCTCGAGCGCCTCGAGGCCTGCATACCGCCACCGTCCCAGACCTCCGGCAGATTGAGCTCGTCCATCGAAGGGCCCCAGAGCTCATGGCCTCTTCCCTGTGGCAGGTCCATATCGACCCGACCCGGATCGCTTACTGCTGGCCCACGGGCCCATGGAGAAGGAGGAGGAGGAGGAGGGTATGGAGGGCATGGAGGATGAGGAGGAGGAGGAGGAGGAGGAGGAGGAGGAGGAGGAGGAGGAGGGTATGGATGGTATGGAGGGTATGGAGGAAGAGCACAGCGCTGCCCTGAACAGAACCAGCCCGCCTTCGGTCTGCGCCCCACGCCCGCGCAGGGCGCCGACGCCCAACGCCTGCGGCGGCGAGCGGGGCCCGGCCCGTGCCGGCCCCGGACGCCGGGCCGACCCCGCCGCGGTGCCCGGGCTCGGCCTTCGCCCGCGAGGCTGCCGCTCGGGCCTGTGGGCTCGGCACGATCCCGTGCCGCGCCGCGGTGTCGCCCCTCGCGTCTGCCGATGCCCGCTGCAATGGGCCACCTCCTCCACCTCCGCCTCCTCCTCCTCCTCCTCACACTCGTCACCAGCACCACGACACGCATCACCATCGCACTCGTCGCCATCACCATCACACTCGTCACCACCTCCTCCTCACCATCACACTCCTCACCGTCACCACGATCACCGGCATCACCAACACCATCACCATCCTCGTAGACCCAGCACCAGACTGGAGAACACGACTTTGTTTGTTTTGATGCGTACTTCTCTGGCTCTCTAAAACTTCCCCCGAAGCCTTCGCAGGAGGAGGTTGCTCCCCCACCGTCGGACGAATATTACTCAAAACTGGTCCCAAGATCCTTCCTGGGCACTACCCCATGCCCGCTTTCCGAGCCGCGCCCAGCCCCGGCGACGAGGGAAACGAGATGGGAGGAGGAGAAGGAGGCGGAGTAGGAGGAGGAGGAGGAGGAGGAGGAGGAGGACCTCCCCTCCCTCTAAGCGCGAGGGGTGGTGCATTCCGTACGTGCGCGCTGAGTTGGAAGGGAAATGCGTGCGCGCGCCCGTGTCGACGCCAAAGGGCCATTTGGGAGCGGGGGGGCGGGGGGCCCGCGAGGCCGCGGGATGTTTGAAGCGCGCCCGATCCTGGGACAAGCAGTCTTATCTCCTCGTGTTTCAGTATATTCGGGGGCATGTGCGAGCCAATTCAAGCAGGCACCTGCTCAAAGGCCCGTTGGGCTGGAAAGCGCTTTTTCAACCTGCTCAGCGGGCAACGTTTCGCGAGCGTATCGGGGCCCAATTTCACAGCCAGAACTTTTCCCAGAACTGCTGCTGGTAGAGTCTCCTCCTCTGCATCACTATTCCTGGGAGGCTCGCGGTTTCCTTCTCCTTCTCGGCCCCCTCCCGGCCTCCTCCTCCTCCTCCTCCTCCTCCTCCTTCTCCCTGCTCATCTCTCTCCTCCCCATATTCGTCCTCCTCCTCGTCCTCCTCCCCCTCCTCCTCCTCCTCCTCCTCCTCCTCCTCCTCCTCCCCAGCATCGTTATCATCAGCAGCAGCAATATCATCAACAACGGCAGCAGCAGCACCATCCTCATCATCCGTAACGTCACAAGCATCAGCATCAGCATCATCATCAGCACCATCACCATCATAGTCATCGTCATCATAATCACCACCGTCAGCCGCATCGTCATCATATTCACCATGATCATCACAATGAGCATCATCACCACCAGCTTAAACATCATCCGCATCCTCCTCCTCCTCATCATCATCCTCATCGTGATCATCAACATTTCCATCATATCAGCATTATCATCAAGACCAGCATCATCACAATCGCCATCATCATCAGCATCAACACAATCCTCTTCATCATCATCAGCATTACCATCACAACCATCATCATCATCAGCATCATCATCGTCGTCAGTATCATCATGACCAACCGCACCCCTGATCATCAGCCCAAGAGAAGGAACACGAACCCGAAAATCCAAACCTTCCGCCCTAAGAGGGCCCCAAGAGGCGACCAAGAGGCTCCCAGAGGCTCCCAAGACCCCCCAAGAGGTCCCAAGAGGCCCCGGGAGGCCCAAATTTCCCAAAGCGCCGCTGTAGAGGTCTTCCTGAGACGCGTTGCTCCAGGAGACAAACACCCTCGCTAAACTGCGAAAAAAAGTGCACGGGGGTTACGCAGCGAGCTCAAGCTGTCACGTGCCAGTTAATGCTGGTTGTTGCCGTCTAATGTTGTGGCTCGTCGCGGTCATGTAAATCGACATCCTCGTCTGGCTGATCGTCACCGAATCCTCGACGTCAGTGCCGTGTACGAAATTCTGGCCCTGCTGTTGAGCACCGATATCCTCGCTACGCCGCTGTTGCGAAGCCCCGCCCTAGACCTGGCCCGGCATAGAAACGGAAGAGCGCTTCAGAAACAGAAACCGAAATTACTCACACCACCGTTCGTACCGGGAGCCTTGGCGTTAAGAGCTGGTTACGTCACCCCTCTCTCTTGGGAGCCTTGGTGTTCAGAGATGGTTGCGTTGCCGCCCGTTCCTGAGCCTTGACTGGGCCTTGGTGTCAGGAACTTGTTACGTCACCGCTCTCTGCTGGGAACTTTGGTCTTATCAGCTTGTGAACGTCACCGTTCGCTCTTGGGAGCGTTGGTGTGAAGAGCTTTTTGCGTTACCGATCGCTCTTGGCGTCTTTGGGCCTTCGTGGGAGTCCTCTTGGGGCCCTTTCGGGCCCTCCTGGTGGCCTCTTGGGCGCCTCTTGGGAGCCTCTTGGGGCTTCTGTGGGGGCCTCCTGGGAGCGTCTTGGGGCCGTCTTGGGGCCCTCCTGGGCCACCAGTGCATGGAAGTGGATCAAGCGACCTTCGTTCGGCCGCCGTTCGTCTCCGCACTGTTCGAGAGTGGGCTGTAAACACTGCGGCAACCACAACCAATACACCGTTTCTCTTGCTATGGACGGCTAAGGGCCTGGGCAACCGCCGAGAGAGCCTCGCCGGAAAACTGCTGATCTGTTAATCTGGAGACCCTCTTGGTGGTCCTCTCGGGGCCCTCTTGTGCCGTCTTGGGGCTGTCTTAAGCCGCTAACACGTTTGTGGCAGGACCACGAACAACAACGCAGCGAACACATCAGACCTTCCCATCCATGGCAGTCTGTCCAGTGCCGCCCGAGGCACCCCAAAGTTGCGTTTTTTTTCTGCGAGCGGCTGCAGCGTAAACTGCGAAGTCGGAAGCCGCGAGCTGACATCCCAGAACTCGCCATCGCTCGGACGTCCGTTCCCTGTGTTTTTTTGTTCGGATTCGCGCGTGGCTTTCTCGTCAAATGATCGAGCGTCCTCGCCGAAGGAAAACTGCACACGTCCGAGTGTCCTCGGATGCTCATCGATTGTCCTCCAGGCGAGGCCCTCAGTGTGATCACCCGCCGCGAGCCCGATAGGGCCCCAGAAGTTCGGCGGGCCATGCGCGCCCAGCCCCCTCTCGACCAAGCGCGGCAGGCCGAGGATGGTCGTCGATTGTCCTCGCCGAAGGAAAACTCGGCTTTTCTCGGATGCTCCTCGATTGTCCTCGCCGAAAGAAAGCTGCACACGCCCGAGCGATGCCGAGAGCAGCTGCGCCCGCTGGGGGGCGAGCCGGGCCGAGGAGCGCCGCCGGGCTCGGGAGGACGAGGGGGAGGAGGAGGATGTGGAAAGGCCAGTGGGATTGAGGGGAGGAGGAGGAGGGAGAGGGGGAGGGGGAGGAGGGGGAGGAGGAGGGGGAGGAGGAGGAGGGGGAGGAGGAGGGGGAGGAGGAGGCGGAAGGCCGGTGGGATTGGAGAGAGGAAGCCGCGAAGGCCGCCCGCACGCCTCTTGCAACCTCCGCGCGAGGGGAGCCCGCAGCGGAGGTCAGGGAAGGTCCCACCGCCGTCGCCAGAAGTCGATATTGTCCCAGAGAATACCTAACCCAATCCCGCGGAGATTGATACCACAGGGATAATAAAGTTCGGGGTCGCGGGGGGATTATAAATGTTGCCTACCAGAGGCCAGCATGTGGGAGGAGAAGGAGATGATGTTAAGAGGACCGAAAGCCGAGGATCGAGGATCGAGAATCGAAGTCCGAGGATCGAGGATCGGGATCCCAGAGTCGAGGATCGAGGTCCGAGGATCGACGGCGGCGAGGTCCGAGGATCGAGGATCGAGGTCCGAGGGTCGAAAATCGAAGATCGAGGATCGAGGTCCAGGGTGCCAGGGGGAGAAGGAGGAAGACAGAGAGAGACAGAGACAGAAAGATACAGACAGTTCGACAGAGAGGGAGAGAGAGAGAGAGGGAGAAAAGTAGAGAAAGATAGACAGACAGAAGGAGAGAGAGAGGAGGAGGAGGAGGAGGAGGAGGAGGAGGAGGAGGAGGAGAAAAGCCAAAGTTCCAAACCTATTAAATATAATTTGTAGACAAACAATGGAAATTAAGATGTTCATATACTCGTGTAGGGTGCCTCATGTGCCTCGGTTTCCGTGGATAGTAAACCACAGCGACAAAAAGATCAGGGGGCCAGGGGGAGAAGGAGAAAGACAGAGAGAGAGAGAGAGAGAGACAGAGACAAAGAGAGAGAGAGAGAGAGAACAACAACAAAAATAACAACAAAAAACAAGAACAACAACAACAACAAAAAAACAACAACAACAACAACAAAAAAAAAAAACGAGAGAGGAGGAGGAGGAGGAGGAGGAGGAGGAAGTCTCTCATCGACAAGTCTCTCGCTTCGCTTGAGACATCCTCGAAGAATTGTTGGTTCCGCTTGGGACATCCTTGAAAAACTCATCGTTTCGCTTGAGGCTGCCTCCAACAATTGTTGGTTTCGTTTGAGACATCCTCGAAAACGTCTTCGCTTCGCTTGATGTTGCTATCTCAACATAAGAAGGAAGTTAACCTCGATAGTGAACTTTTCACAGTGATAAAAAAAAGTTCGGCCTCCGCGCCCCGCGCCCCTGACCAAACTCTTCTTGGCCGTGGATAATCAACGCTAGCGTGGAAAGGGGGGTCCTTTTTTATCATCGGCGCAAGGCTACACCTAAAAAACCTACAGCACAAGTGGGGCCGCAGCAGAACATGCATACGACCATGCACGCCAGTGAGATGCCGATTATAAGCCACAAGTTCACCCGCGCACCTGCTTCGTCGCAAGAGCCCGGGAACAACATCACGGTCCTGCTGCCCTGGAACCCCGCCCTTAAGGGCTTCGCCCCACACCAGAAAGTCATCACTCGTACCTCGCTCTTTCCGTTACTCGAAAAAAACGAGGAAAACGGGCCATTAGGGCGATTAGACCTGCTTGGCATGAGGACGGAAAGCGCGTGTGTTTTGTGAGGGCGCAAGGTCGCTGGCTCAGCGTTTGGGAGCCATGTTGGGGTTTAAGTTCCGGTACGACATACAAAAATCTAGGAACGAACCTTGCGAAAATAAATAGATACTGAATTTCCCGACCTTCTTGGGTGTCCTTTTTTCCAGACGAAAACATTCATGCAGGCAGCTTGACCTGGGGCGATCCTGAGCCAGACGCATAGCCCCTCCAGGGCCACAAGAGAAGCATACAGAGGGCCGAACGAGCAAACGTGCACGTAGACATCGAGGCGGTGCCAGCCCTACTGGAGAAGTGTCTCCGGCAGCGTTCCGTCGGTCTATAGGAACCAGAAGGAGGAGTGCAGCAGCGATGTGAGATGCCGGAGACTCGCTGAACAAACGAGGGGAGAGGGAAGAGACGGGAATAAAGACGGGGGGATAAAGATCCTGAAATGGGACGGGAATCTGTGCGGCCATTGCAGCCGCAACCACGGCAACTGGCTCGACCGCTGCTCGCTGACTCGTGCCGGAATACAGTCGGGGCCTTGACCTAAGGAACCCTAAATAAGGAACGAGGCCCCTTTTCTCCATAAGTTAAACTTCGATTTCCGATCGAAAACATAAGGAAAACCTGAGGCAAGCTGTGAAACACTTAAGGAACGCGGAGCCCCTCCCCAACCAAAAGGGTTCCTTCTTCAGGGCCCCGACTGTTAGATTGGCGGAGGCGCTGGGTGCAAGCTAAACCGCCGAATGGCCCCCCTCCCGCCTCCTCCGTCCTCACTGCTCCACTCCCCAGTCCACGGCGGCAATCCAAGGACAGTTGTTGGATGCATCCCTCGAGCTCGCTGCCGCCTCCAGCGGCGTGCGCTCGGAGCAGAAACGCAGCACAAACCCGTAAGGGAACGCGGCACTGACAGTGCAGCTCCGCAGACGTATCAAATGCAACAAAGCGAGCAAGAACACAGCAACATCCCAGGGCAGCGAATGTGTGCAAGATGAGAACCCGCGATGTCCCCTCCTGTTTCCTCCATCCTCCCTCCTCCGAGGGGGCCCAGGGACGCACGCACACACACACACACACACACACACACACACACACACACACACACATACACACACACACACACACACACACACGCACGCACACACACACACACACACACACATACAGAGAGAGAGAGAGAGATATATATATATATATACATATACACACAAATCCCAGAACTCCCCATCTGTTCTCACATTTTCAGGTTTTTCGTCTCCCCCCACACTTCCCATAGTTCCCCACATTTTCTGGGGAATCGACGATTAGTTGTGCACGCGTGTTCTTTCCCTCCCGAGCACTACATGTATCGGCTACACGCAAGAGTGACCCTGGGTCAGAGTGACCTCTGGTGCGCGGCTTTTGGGGGGCCGCGAGGGGGCCAGACAGAGCGCGCAAGACGCCACTGCCGCCTCGCGTTGGGCGATCGGGGGACCCCATTTGTCGGGTCGGGCGAAAGGGGTGGATAGCAAAGGGGGGGGGGGGAGAATCAGCTCACGTAGCTGATTTTCCCGGCGCCTCCTTGCGCCGGAGGCGGCCATGTATCGAGGAATGGGCCCCTCGGTGAGGCCGAAACCAGCTGCATGCAGCAAATTTCGTATATCCCTTTCCCAATCCCCCCCTTTCGTCCGGCTCGAATTTGGCCCGCACCAAAGCTCACTCCGGCGAGAGGTCACTCTCACGTCCAGTCGAAATGCACCCCGGGGCGCCCCGTGGGCCCCGGTCGCGGCGAGGGTCCCAAAGGGCGACTGCGTGCAGTGCCCGCCCGCGGGCAACTTCGTCCCCGCCGCCGCCTCCGGCTCGCTCCTCCTCCGGCGCCCCGGGCGGCGGCGCGTCCTCCCCTCCTGCACAAGGGGCCCCCTGGGGCACCCAACTAAATACACGCACAAATCACAGGATCCCCCGTATTTTCCCACCTCTTCTGGGTTCTTGCCTTTCCCCCCCCCACCTCCCATCTCTTCCTGGGAACCTGCGACACAATGGTGTCTGCGTGCTGCCTCCCCTCCTGGCTCTTGCCTTCCCCCCCACCTCCCATCTTCTCCTGGGAATCGACGATAAGATTGCGGGCCTGTGTGCTGCTCCCCCTTCCGTAGGGCGACGAAATCTATACATATCCACTGCTCCCTGGCCAGGCCCATCCTCAACCCCGCAGCGGTGTATACGCCACGCCCTCCTGGCTTGGCCAGGAGGGCGCATACACAGCTCCTGGGTTCAAGATGGGCATGGTCAGGGAGCAGTGGATATGTATAGATTTCGTCGCCCGATCCCGACCCTGAGAGCCCCCCCTCCGCGGACCACGGCGGCAGATAAGTCGCGAGCCCGCGGGGCCCCCGCCCGCCCGGGGCCGCGCGCGCCGGCTCCGGCGGGGCAGCTCGCGGGAGCCCCCCCCCCCCCGCGCCGTCCTGCGGGCGCGGTGCGGCGCCGACGCGCGGCGGGGGCGAACCCAGCGCCGGCCCGACGGCGGAGGCCCAGGAGGCCCAGAAAGGGCGAAGACGAGGGGAAGGTAAGGTCCAGAAAACGGGGCGAAAACGAGGCGAAAAGGGCCCAGAAAACGAGAAACGGCTGAGGCCCAGGAGGCCCAGAAAAGGCAGCCCCCCTCTCCCCTGAGAGAAGGGGCTCCAGAGGCCTCCCGACGACCCCAAAGAGCGCCCCGCGGGGCATCCAGGAGAGCGCCCAGGAGCGCCCCGCAGCGGGGACGACCTGGTGGGCAGGCCACGAGAAAGGGGTACACCCTGCGAAATGCTTAAGAAATCATGGGTTAAGAAATTCATAGTCTCAGAACTTGAGTAAAAGCCCAACATTTCTATTAAAATCTGGAGATTTACATTGAAACGTTAAGAATAATCGAGACTCTGGCCGAAAATTCAAGTTTTCTTGAGCATCGCCTAAGGTGTAGGGCAGAGATGGGCGGCGCGCGCAAAGGGGGTGGAGGGGGGGGGTCTATGAAGGGGCCCCAGGACACACAAATCAATACACACAAATAACAATATCCCCCATATTTTCCCATATTTTCTGGGTTTTTGTCTTCCCCCCCCACTTCCCATATTTTCCCATATTTTCTGGGGAATCGACGATTAATTGTGTCTGTGTCTTTTTTTCCCTCCTGAGTCTTGGAAGGAGGCTGCTTCTGAGAAGGCGCCGGTCTTACATCTGTAGATAGGGCCCGCGCCTTCTGAGAAGCAGGGGTGCTTCTAAGAAGCCCTCCTCCCTCCCCCCACCCCCCTCTGCGCGTGGCTGGAGAGAACCAGCTCGCGCAGCTGATCTTCCCATCGCCTCCCGGCGCCGGGAGGCGCCCATGCATCGAGGAATGGGCCCGGCGGCGGGGCCGAAACCAGCTGCATGCAGCAGATTTCGTATCCCCCCCCTCCCCTATCCCCCCCTTTCGTTCAGCCCGAGACTCTAATTTGAGGGAGTTTCTGTGGAACTCACGTCATCCTCACCCCCGGCGCGAAGAGCACGAGTCCAGAGCGGCCTCCGGCACCGTTTCCGGACAGATCCGGTGGATCCGCTGGATCCGCTGGATCCGGTGACGAATCCCAAACCGGCGCCCTCGCTTGAGACATCCTCACAAAACCGGCCCCGGGGGAGGTGCTCGAGCCCAGAGCGGCCTCCGGCACCGTTTCCGGACAGATCCGGTGGATCCGCTGGATCCGCTGGATCCGGTGACGAATCCCAAACCGGCGCCCTCGCTTGAGACATCCTCACAAAACCGGCCCCGGGGGAGGTGCCCAGAGGAGCACAGAGCGGCCTCCGGCACCGTTTCCGGACGGATCCGCTGGATCCGCTGGATCCGGTGACGAATCCCAAACCGGCGCCCTCGCTTGAGACATCCTCATTCCTCAAACGGCCCTGGGGGATGGTGCCAGGCCTCGAGGAAGCCCAGGCGGCCTCCGAACCGTTTCGGACAGATCCGAGTGGATCCGCTGGATCCGATGGATTCGTGACGAATCCTCAAACCGGCGCCCCGCTCTGGCCCGGGGGAGCGGGGAGGTTGCCCAGAGGAGCCCAGAGCGGACTCCGGCACGTTTCCGGACAGAACCGGGGGTTCCGCTGGATCCGCTGCATTGAGTCGGTGACGAATCCCAAACCGGCGCCCTCGCTGAGACAATCCTCACAAAACGCCCCGGGGGAGGTTGCCCAGAGGAGCCCAGAGCGGCCTCCGGCACCGTTTCCGGACAGATCCGCTGGATCCGCTGGATCCGGTGACGAATTCCAAACCGGCGCCCTCGCTTGAGACATCCTCACAAAACCGGCCCCGGGGGAGGTGCCCAGAGGAGCCCAGAGCGGCCTCCGGCACCGTTTCCGGACAGATCCGGTGGATCCGCTGGATCCGCTGGATCCGCGGTGACGAATCCCAACCGGCGCCCTCGCTTGAGACATCCTCACAAAACCGGCCCCGGGGGAGGTGCCCAGAGGAGCCCAGAGCGGCCTCCGGCACCGTTTCCGGACAGATCCGATGGATCCGGTGGATCCGCTGGATCCGGTGAAGAATCACAAACCGGAAGCCCTCGCTGATGACTACTCACAACAACCGAGCCCCGCGGGGAGGATGCCCACTGGGATGAACGTGGGGGTCTGAAGGGATAGGGGGGTTTCAAGTGGATGCCAAGGTGGGTTATATCTGGCCCAACCTGGCTTATAAGTGGGTTACAAGTGCCCTAAGTAGCTTAGGGGGGTTAACGATCTGGGCTAGGTGGGCTCCGCCCACTTAGCCGAGTTATCGACCCCTCCTAAGCTACTTAGGGCACTTGTAACCCACTTATAAGCCAGGTTGGGCCAGATATAACCCACCTTGGCATCCACTTGTAACCCCCCTATCCACTTAGGAACCCCCACGGTCATCCCAGCAGAGGAGCCCAGAGCGGCCTCCGGCACCGTTTCCGGACAGAGATCCGCTGGATCCGCTGGATCCGCTGGATCCGGTGACGAATCCCAAACCGGCGCCCTCGCTTGAGACATCCTCACAAAACCGGCCCCGGGGGAGGTGCCCAGAGGAGCCCAGAGCGGCCTCCGGCACCGTTTCCGGACAGATCCGGTGGATCCGCTGGATCCGCTGGATCCGGTGACGAATCCCAAACCGGCGCCCTCGCTTGAGACATCCTCACAAAACCGGCCCCGGGGGAGGTGCCCAGAGGAGCCCAGAGCGGCCTCCGGCACCGTTTCCGGACAGATCCGGTGGATCCGCTGGATGGATCCGCTGGATCCGGTGACGAATCCCAAACCGGCGCCCTCGCTTGAGACATCCTCACAAAACCGGCCCCGGGGGAGGTGCCCAGAGGAGCCCAGAGCGGCCTCCGGCACCGTTTCCGGACAGATCCGCTGGATCCGCTGGATCCGCTGGATCCGGTGACGAATCCCAAACCGGCGCCCTCGCTTGAGACATCCTCACAAAACCGGCCCCGGGGGAGGTGCCCAGAGGAGCCCAGAGCGGCCTCCGGCACCGTTTCCGGACAGATCCGCTGGGTGGATCCGGTGGATGACGAATCCCAAACCGGCGCCCTCGCTTGAGACATCCTCACAAAACCGGCCCCGGGGGAGGTGCCCAGAGGAGCCCAGAGCGGCCTCCGGCACCGTTTCCGGACAGATCCGGACAGATCCGGTGGATCCGCGCCCCGGGGGAGGTGCCCAGAGGAGGAATGAGGAGGAGGAGGAGGAGGAGGAGGAGGAGGAGGAGGAGGAGGAGGAGGAGAAGATGATGGAGCTGCGGGGTGGAGGAGGACAGACGGAGGCAAGAGAAGGAGGGAGGAGGAGGAGGAGGAGGAGGAGGAGGAGGAGGAGGAGGAGGAACCTCATCACCCTCGCCAACAAGCGCACGCACCTTCTTCTATATACAGAAACTCCCGATCAACCGCAGAGCGGCCGGCTAGTAAACGCTACAATGGCGCACATCGACACTAAGTCGGCGCTGTCTCATCGATGTGCAGACACTGCGGCGATGGCTGTGGGCGCCACGAGGGCGGCTACGACACAGGCGATGGTGATTTTGGTGGTCGCCTGCCCCTTCCCCTGGTCCTCAGCTGACACGCTGGAGTCCCGGCCCGACACCAGGCAAGCCGCCGCCGTAGTTCGGCGGCGCCTGACCCAGCGGCCTTTGGCCCCAGACAGACCCCGTTTTCGCGGAGGCCGTCCGCTTGTGGGGCTTACGGGTTGCCGTGCAAGCGCTGCAGCCCTGCTCAAAGGGGAATGTCTGAAGCTCCTCCTCGTTGATATCGCTCTGCGGCAGGGGGTCCCCGACGCCGTCGTGGAGGGCGAGAATGACGCCCGTGGCTGCATGAGTGCTAGCACACGCAACGAGTACCACGCAGAAGACGATCGGGGTGAGGAACGACCTGGTCATCAACGCAACTGCGAGACGGAAGTGTACTCCAGCTTTCGTAATAGAAGGGAGGGGGTCTGGACCCTCCAAGACAAGCCATTTCAGACCTCACCCGTGGGAGAACCCTCCAAAACATCGTCCCCAGACACCCCAGGCCCTCCAAGATAGCCTAGAAGAGACCCCCCCCAATGAGACCCCCCTCCCTTTATTACGAAATCTGGAGTGTCCAGTCCCATGCCGCCAGCACGCATGCAGCAAGCATGACCAGCGATCAGATGCCGGCCCGGACGACAAGAGAGCCCCGGGGCTCTCACGCTCCTCGCCCAGGAGGGCCACCGGGCCGGCGAGGGAGACGTGCGCGCCGATGCCCCCCGCGAGCCAGAAGACCTGCAGGATGCCCCGCGTGACTCCGCAGGTAAGGCCGCTGGCCGCCGCCAGCCTGAGGTCGTGCCTGTCCCCCTACAGGCGGATCTTGGACAAAAAATAAAAAGCACCCTAGAATCGTCCCCAGACTATTTTTGACTATTTTTGCATATCCCCCCTGTAGAGGGACAGGGCCCGACTCAACGCCAGCCTCGCCAGGCAGCGCACTTCGCTGGAGATGCCGGGGCTGTGCGGGGCGACGAGCAGGTCGCTGACCTCGAGGTGCGACGGCCGTGGGCCTCGCGATGCCTCCTGACAGCCGCTACAACTCGCCATGCAAGCTCATTGACCATAGAAGGGGCCGTCGCAACCGGCCACTCCTTGAGCAGGGCGAGATGGCGCAGCGCAGGCGCAACTGAGAAAAGTGCCAAGAGACACCACATGTCAAGAATGGCGTCGCAGACCAGGTGCAGAAACAGAGCCGCTGTAATCGTTGGTGAAAATTTACGGCGCTCGCGAATACAGTTGCCGAGCCCTCGACATGCCACCAACAATTGCATCGCAGCCAATATCAACTTCCGTGTTACGTGTGGCTCTGAATAAACCACGACGGAAACGTCATACTTTTGTATATTCGTTTCGTCCCACTTTGCTTGCCAAGCTTTGGTCTCTTCACGCTGAAGAAGTGAAACTATCTCCCCTTTGGTCATGCCTGCCAGCTTCGTCAATGGGTACAAACTCGCTTCGCGAATTGCAACCCAGACCATGTCAGTCACATATAGCCCCCAGCTCGCTTGCGTTGCGGAGTTATGAAACGTCTGGTGAACCTCAGTAGCGTTGGCAGTAAAAACGCCAACCACAGCAATAGATTCATGAAAAGACCTTGCCCGTTCGACAGCCACGTGAGAGACTGGGCACCTGGAGTCCCCGAGCTTTCTCTCCAGACAGTTGCCGTCGTCCCGAGTGAAAGTATGCCGCGGGATCAACGCCAACAGCGCACCGCTCTCGAGGAACAGCGCCTCAACATCTCCGCGACACCTGGGGTCACTCCGCACTCTGCCGATGAGTGCGACTTGGCAGATGCTCTCCCGGGCGGTGACACGGAGAGCGACGCACACGGACAAGGCCGCGCAGGGGAGGCCGCGCCACAGCGCGCTGCGGCGCCGGAGCGCCCCGAGGTCGGGCGCCCCCCCCTCGACATAGCTGCGCCCCTGGCAGACCACGAGGACCGGCGCGTCCGGGTCGAGCGCCACGACCGCTGAAAGAAAGAGGCGACCGCCCTGCTAGAAGCACCGGGCGCCAAGGATGCTGGTCGCTGCGACTCCGCCGAGGCCGACGAAGGCGGCGACATGCCTTAAAACGGCAGCGCCGCCGCCTCGCTCCTCGCGAGGTGCGCCTCCGCCGCCCGGAAGAGTTGCCGCAGAATGGAGCCCCATTTGCTCAGCCAAGCTCCGACCAGGAAGAACAGGTCGAGGTAGCTCAGGAGAGCCGAGAACATAGACACAGAAACGCACGCGCAGTCCGCAGTAACCTGGTCGAGGCGCAGGGGGAGCTGTCCAGATGCGCCCGCTTGAGCCAAAAAATTGGCTACGGACCTTCCCGGGGGTCCTCTTGGGGCTCTTTTGGGCCGTCTTGGAGCCCTGTTGGGCCGTCCCAGGACCCTCTTGGGCCATCTCGGCGGGCTTGGGCCGTCCTGGGGCCCTCTGGGGGCCCTCCTGGGTCCCCTTGGGGACCTCCTGTGGCCCTCTTGGGGCTCTCTTGGGAACCTCTTGGGGCCCTCAGGGGCCTTTCTTGGGCCGTCTCCGGGCTCCCTTGGGCCGTCTTGACGCCCACTTGGGCCGTCTTGGGGGCCTCTAGGGCCGTCTTGGGGGCGATCTTGGGGGTCACCTGGACCATTTTGGATGCTGCGAAGACCAAGAAAGCGAATATACTGAAAATGCACGTTTTCCTAAAAAGAAAATGGAACGACCTGTGCCTCTTGGGGGTCTGATGTGGGGGCCTCTCAGCGCGTCATGGGACCTTCTGGGCGGTCCTGAAGGCTATATTGGGCCCCCTTGGAGCGCTCTTGGGCCGTCTTCGGGACCTCGGACCTCTCCGACGCCGTCTCCTCCTCCTCCTCCTCCTCCTCCTCCTCCTCCTCCTCCTCCTCCTCCTCCTCCTCCGACTTGGTGGCGGTCTTGGGCGGTCTTGGGGCTGACTTCGGTCGTCTTGGGCCGAACATGGCCGAAACTTGGGGCGATTAGGCCTGCCTGGCACGTGGACGGAAAGCGCGTTTACTTTCAGAGCGCGAGATGCCGCTGGCTTGCCCGGTCTTTCTCTCTGTCTCCCCGTCTGGAGGCTCCCTTGGGGCATCTTGGTGGCAGATTGGGCACCGTCTAGGGCTATCTAGAAGCCGCAGGAGGCCCCTTCAGGGGGAACTAGCGCGTGTTGGTATCTTGGGAAGGCACAAGAGCGCGATAAAACAGGAATGAAGATTATGATAATACGGTTGATGATGACGACAACAATCTGTCTCTTGGGAGCATTTTGGGCCTCTCCCAGGCCCTCCTTGGGCCGTCTTGTGGCTCTCTTAGGCCGTCTTGGGAGCCTCTCGGCCCCGCTTGGGAGCCTCTTGGGGCCTCTTGGGGCTCTCTTGGGGCCCTCTCGGGGCCCCTCTTGGGCCGTCTCGGGCCCCCCTTGGGCCATCTGGAAGCCCTCTTGGACCGTTTTCGGCCCCTTTGGGGGGCCTCTGGGGCCGTCTTGGGACGATCGTTGGGGCCTCTTGGGCCGTCTTCGGCCCGTCTGGGGGCCCTCTTGGACCGTTTTGGGCCCCTTTGGGGCGCATCTGGGGCCGTCTTGAGACGATCGTTGGGGCCTCTTGGGCCGTCGGGGCCCTTCTGGGACTGAGAAGGGGCGAAGCCGAAAAACATACAAAAACAAAAGAAATATCAATGTGTCCTCCTGAGGCCCGAGGGCCTCAGGAGGACCTCGCCAGAAAGCGTCTGCGAAGTAGCTCAAGCCACGCGTGATTGGCACGCAACGTGCAGAGCGAATTCCCCCTCGCAACGTGCAGGGCGAATTCCTCGCGTTATGCATCAGCACGCTCCACGATGCGCATGGAAACCACCGCGCGACAGGGCGCGCCTGCACACCGAAACCATCAAGAAAAGCTCAATTTCGTTTGGAATGAATTTCGGCGCGCGCTCCTTTTCGTCTCCAGAGAAAGTGCCACTACGAGCCCTCTCGGGGGCCCTCCTGAGGGACTCTGAAGCCGTCTCGAGGCTCTCTCGGACCGTCTGGAAGCCATCGGACCCATCCGAAGGCCCTCTTTGGACCGTGTTCGGCCCCTGTGGGGGGCCTCTGGGGCCGTCTTGGGACGATCGCTGGGGCCTCTTGGGCCGTCTTCGGCCCGTCTGGGGGCCCTCTTGGACCGTTTGGGGCCCCTTTGGGGCGCCTCTGGGGCCGTCTTGGGACGATCGTTGGGGCCTCTTGGGCCGTCTTCGGCCCGTCTGGGGGCCCTCTTGGACCGTTTTTGGGGCCCCTTTGGGGCGCCTCGGGGGCCGTCTTGGGGCGATCTTTGGCGCCTCTTGGGCCGTCTGGGGTCCTGCTGTGACTGAAAAGGGGAGAACCCCCAAAACGTACAAGAGCCGGAGGAGAAGACATTGCTTTTGGCCTCCTGAGGCCCTCCCGGGGGCCCTCTGAGGCCATCTCGAGACTGTCTTGGACCGTCTGGAAGCCATCTGGAGCTCTCTTGGAGCGGTCTTGGGGCCCTCTGAAGCCGCTTTGGGGCCCTCTTAGGCAATCTTGGGGCCCTCTGGCCGGCTCACCCAAAAAAAAACAAAGAAACAGGCCATGGGAGCCGCCTGGGAGCCGCTTCACTAGAAAAAATACAAGTGAAACGGGCAATTAGGGCGATTAGACCTGGGCCAGCACGGGAACGGAAAGAGCGCACTCAGCAATTTGCTCGAACATGCTCATGGCATCATTCGCCTCTGCGCCGACACTCACTCGTCGGAGCCTTGTTACTCCTGCTCCTCCTGCTCCTGCTTCTGCTCCTCCTTGCTCACCAACCAATCGAAAATCAGCGTTCCTCCTCGTTCTTCCGCTTGTTCTTGCTCATTATCGTCCTCCTCATCCTCCTCCTCCTCCTCCTCCTCCTCCTCCTCCTCCTCTGCTCCTCCTCAGCTTGCTCGTCCTCCTCCTCCTCCTCCTCGTCCTCCTCCTCTCCTCCTCCTCCTCCTCCTCTCCTCCTCCTCTTAGTCCGCCTCCATCCTCGTCCTCTTCATTATCCTCTTCCCTCCTCCTCCTCATGCTGCTCCTCCTGCTGTTCCTCCTCCTCCTCTTCCTCCTCCTCCTCCTCCTCTGCCTCCTCCTCCTCCTGTTCGTGGTGCTCCTCCTCCGAAGAGCTTTTTTTACGCCAGTCGTCGTTATGTATGGGGAGCCATGGTGTTGTGATCTTAAGACGTCACTGTGAGCTCTTGGAAGCCTCTGTTATGTGGCGTTTCCGAGCCTTCTTGGGGGTCGTTGTGGGGTCATTCGGGGCCGTCTTGGGACCCGATTGGACCGACTTGGGGCACTTTCGGGGCGTCTTGGAAGGCTCTGTCCGTCTTGGGACTCTCTTGGGGGTCTCTTCGGGCCCTCCTGGGAGCCTCTTGAGGCCCTCTTGGGGCTCTCTTGGGAGCCTCTAGACCCTCTTGGGCCGTCTTGCGTCCCTCTTGGGAGCCTCTTTGGGCCCTCTTGGGCCGTCTTGGGGCCTTCACGGGAGCCTTGAGGCGATCTCGTAGGCTTCTTGGGCCGTCGTGGGCATCGAGCCGCCCAGAGGGCAATCCCACTCGATAAATATAGAGGCCGGAGGGCGATTAGACTTTTCGCCCGCCCGTCCCCCCCCCCCTGGAACCCCCCCTTGGGCTGACGCCCTACCAAAAACGGAACCGCGTGAACGCTCTTGCCGTCATCCCTGCCCGTGCAAAAATTCCACCCCCCTCGAACTCCCCCTAGTTTCATTTCTTCCGATAAACGGATCGCACGCTACGCGCGCTTTCCGTCATCCGCCGCCCTCTGTGGCTTGCCACAGGGGTGCACGGCGAAACATGTGTCAGGCGAATTGTTGGTTTTTCCTTCAAGAACAACCCGTGGGGCTTCCGCCCAGCAGGCCAGGCAACCGGAAAACGCACCTCCCGTCGGCAGTGTCGCTCAAGATGGCTTCAAGATGGCCTCCAAGACGGCCAAGATGGTCCCCCAGACCGCCAAGATGGCCCTAAGAGAGCCCAAGGTAGCCCCAAGATGGCCACCAAGACGGTCCCAAGATGCCTCCAAGATCGCCAAGCCAAGATGCAGCCAAGACGTTCCAAGCGGCCCCAAGCCCACGCGGCCTCCAAGAGGTTCCCTGGGCCCGCAGAGGCCAAATTCATTGATGCTCCTTCGGTTTTTGAGGGATGTCGGCATTTGCTTCAAAATGGCCTCCCGACGGCCCAAAACGGACCAAGAGGTCTCCAAAATCGCCCCAAGATTACCCAGGAGGCCTCCAAGATGGCCCCATGACGGCCCACGAGGCCCCCAAGACGGCACCAAGGGGGCCCACAGACTGCCCAAGGAGCCTCCAAAACGCTCAAGGTGGCCTCGAAGACGGCCAACATGGGCCCGCGAGAACCTCAGATAGCCGCAAGATGCCTTCAAGACGGTCCAAGATGCAGCCAACACGGCCTAAGATGGCCTCATGATGGCTCAAGACGGCCCAAGAGGCCCCAAAGAGGCATCCAGGGTCCTCAGGGAAGGCCCGAAGAGGTCAAACTCAATGATTGCCCTTGGGTTGTCGACAGATTTAGGCGTTCGACCATTGTCTACGCTCATGCGGCCCAAGACAGCCCAAATGCCACAAAAGGCCCCAAAGAGCGCTCAAGAGGCCTCCGAGATGACCCCCTGACGGCGCAAGAGGCCCCCAAGACGACCCCAAGAGGCTACCAAGACGGCCCCAAGATGATCTCCAAGGCGGCCCTGGAGCGCCCCAAGAAGGCCCCAAGTCGGCCAAGAGAGGCCCAGACGGCGTCAGACGGGCCAGGAACGCCCTGAGACGGCAACCTCCCAAGGAGCCTCCAAACGCCCCCAAGAGGCCCAAGGAAGCCCCCAAGAAGCCTCCAAGAGGCCCAGGAGGCAAAAAAAGTGCCCCAAGAGGCATCTCCCTCCTCCTCCTCCTCCTCCTCCTCCTCCTCCTCCTCCCCCACCTCCTCGTGTTCCTCCTCCCCCTCCTGCTCCTCCTCCTCCTCCTGCGTGGTCTCTGCTTCGTTACCCCCCTCGTGTTCACCGAAGTGGTTTCTGAACGACTGGGGGGAACACCGAGTTCGATAGCTTGGTCGAGTTCTGGCCGCAACGTTCGGCCACATAGGCTGTGTCATGAGGCAGAGGGCGGCGGTGACTCGCCGTAGACGTCTTCGATTACTCTAACATCTCCCTCGTCCCCCATCCTCAACAAATACCCTTAACCTTTCTACCCGAGCATTCTCCGCGACGTTTTGCCCAAGAACCCATATGCTGCCCTTCACCGTCTCCTTCCTCCTCCTCCTCCTCCTCCTCCTCCTCCTCCTCCTCCTCATCCTCATCCTCATCCTCATCCCAAACCACCTCATCGAACCCACCTCTTGAGTCCTCCACCTCGCCGCTCCTCATCCTCATCGTCAACTCTCCTCAGCCCTGTTCTGGAAGCCAACATTCCCAACATGCTCCATTCGTATCTTCAGCTCGCCTCACCAGCGCTCCTCAGCATCCCAAACCTTCCTCAAACACCATCAAATCCGATCAGCATTCCGCCCGCCAGCCTGGAGGAGAAAGAGGGTGAACGCGAAGGAGAAAGGAGAGGCAGGACAAACGAACGCCTGGAGGAGAGGCCTGGAGGAGAACGCCTGGAGGGGAGGCCTGGAGGAGAACGCGAAGGAGATAGGAGAGGCCTGGAGGAGAACGCGAGGTGCACGAAAAGAGAGACAACCGAGCAACAAACTTGACATACAACAGCACTAGGACATGACTCCGTGTCGCCGAAGTCAGGTCAATCATGTTTGCGATGGCGGAGATTGTAATGGATGATCGCTGCGCTCGTAGCCTGTTGCCTGCATGTTTAAAACCGCAGTCACTGGCTTGTATCATGTGTAGTTATGCTCGGTTGACAGCCGCCCCCAAGCTGAACGAGGTGCAGGTGGAAACACTCGTCCCCACTCCACGAGATACTTACAGTCTGAATGTCCGACGCTCCTGTTCCGCCTCCACGCCCCGCTGTGCATGTGAATCGAGCCAAGCCGTCCTCGCTGCAATCAGAAAGTTCATAGCAGCGTTCTCCTCATCGTCTTCCCTCGTCCTCTTACTCCCTCGTCCACTTCCTGAATCATCTCTCCTCTTCGCTCTCCCTCCTGCTTCATTGACATCCTCCCTTCACTGCATCCTCCATCATCTTCCTCCTCATCCATCCTCCTCTTCCTCCTCCGTCCTCCACCATCCTCCTCCTGCATTCCCTTGCTCCTCCTCCTCCTCCTCTTACTCCTCCGTCTCGCCTTCCTCCTCCTGCTTTGCCTGCGTCTCCTCCACCTCCTCCTCCTCCTCCTCCTCCTCCTCCTCCTCCTCCTCCTCCTCCCCAGAGCATCCCTCGTCCTCCCTCCTCGCGCATCCCCCCCCCTGCTCCTCGTCATCCTCCTCTTCATCCACCTCATCCCGCTGCCTCGGTCATCCCACGTCACCCCAGCTCGTCCTCCTCCTCCTCCTCCTCCTCCTCCTCCTGCTGGTCATCATCATCACCATCATCATCAGCATCAGCAGCATCATCAGCATCATCACCACCACCATCAGTGTCATCATCAGCATCATCAAGATCATCACCAGCATCATCATCATCATCACCACCACCATCATCATCATCATCAGAAGCATCAGCATCAGCATCAGCATCAGCATCAGCATCAGCATCAGCATCAGCATCATCATCATCATCATCATCATCATCATCATCATCATCATCATCATCCTTATCGTCAGCATCAGCATCAGCATCAGCATCAGCATCAGCATCAGCATCAGCATCATCATCATCAGCATCACCATCATCATCATCGTTATCATCATCATCATCATCATCATCATCATCATCATCATCATCATCATCATCATCATCATCATCATCATCATCATCATCATCATCATCATCATCATCATCATCCCTGTCCCCATTGTCGCCCTCGTCCTCATCCTCTCCAGCCACCCTCCTCATGCCTCCCCCACATCCCCATTCAGCACCCTTCAAATCATGTCCCTCCACCTCGCTCTCCACCATGCGCAACATCAACCGTCGTCATCCCCCCCCTCCTCCTCGAAGGTTCGCGCTTCCCTGCACTCCCTTGGAAGCGAAATCTGGATGTAATGCAGCTGCAGTTAGGCATGGCGCTGGCTCCGCCGCCCAGCGCGGCCTCCTCGTCATCATCGTCGTGCCCCTCCTCATCCCCATCAATCCCTGCAGGGGGGGGGGGGGGGGGCGGTGGCCGATGGCGTCGTCGGCCGTGGGTAGCTCCTTTGGGCGCTGCTGAGCGGGGGTGAAACGATTACGTCCCTCCGCCCCTCAGCATCATCAGCGGCAGCAGCACCAGCAGCAGCAGGGGCATCACCAACTTCACCAGCACCATCATCACCAACATCATCGACCACCACAACGCCATCAACAACCCCAACCGTGTCATCAGCAGTCGCGTCATCAGCATCATAAACACAATCCCATCACAACCATCAACGTGACCAGCCAGCACCAGCATCAGCAGCATCATCAGCATCATCATCAGCACTGTCATCATCGTCATCAGCATCATTATCATCATCATCATCATCATCATCATCATCATCATCATCATCATCATCATCATCATCATCAGCATCGTCACCATCATCATCACCGGCATCATCACCATCATCAGCCACAGCAGCATCAGCATCAGCATCATCAGCGGCATCGTCATCAGCATCAGTATCATCATCAGCATCGTCAACCTCAGCAGCATCAACATCATCATCATCAGCATCAGCAGCATCAGCAGCATCATCAAGACCATCATCCCCGTCATTATCGTCATCATTGTTAGCAGCAGCAGCATCATCAGCATCAGCATCATCATCAGCGACACCAACACCATCAGCATCATCATCAGCACCGTCATCATCATCAGCGTCAGCATCATCAGCATCAGAATCATCAGCATCAGCATCATCAGCATCAGCATCATCATGATTAGCATCGGCATCAGCAGCACCATCAAAATCAGCCTCACCATCATCAGCACCAGCATAATCATCGACAGCAGCATCGTCATTGGCATCATCATCATCATGATCAGCATCAGCACCAGCAGCATCAACACATTCGTCATAGGCATCACTGTAAGCATCATCAGTATCAGCATCATCGGCATCAGCATCATCATGATCATCGCCATCATCAGCATCACCAGCAGATTCGTCATCAGTATCATCATCATCTGCATCAGCATCAGCATCATCATGATCATTACCACCAGCATCAGCAGTAGCATCAGCATCAGCATCAGCATCAGCATCAGCATCATCAATATCATCATCAATATCGTCATCATTATCAGCATCATCATCAGAATCGCAAGAATCGCCATCGTCATCATCATCATCATCATCATCATCATCATCACCATCATCAGAATCATCATCATCAGCATCATCATTACCATCGCCATCATCATCATCATCATCATCATCATCATCCTCATCATCACCATCATCGTCGTCAGCATCAGCATCATCACCGTCACCATCACCACCATCATCATCAACAGCATCATCAGCAGCATAGTCATCATCAGCATTGTCGTCATCACTAACATCATTATCATCATCATCGTCGTCATCAGCAGCATCATCATTGCAATCCGCAGCACCATCATCATCATCATCATCATCATCATCATCATCGTATGTATCATCATCAGTAGCATCATCATAATCATCAGCAGCAGCAGCGTCCTCATCAGCAGCATCATCATCAACCTCAGCAGCGTCCTTATCAGCATCAGTATCATCAACATCAGCAACAGCATGAGCGGCAGCCTCATCGCGCTCACGCTCACCAGCGTCATCGTCATCAATCATCAGTATCAACATGAGCATCAGCAGTAGCAACATCATCACCATCATCATCATCAGAATCATCCCCTCTTCCTCCTCCTCCTCCTCCTCTTCCTCATCATTTCCGCCTCAAGCTGATGAAGCTGCTCTTCCTCCTCCTCCTCCTCCTCCTCCTCCTCCTCCTCCTCCTCCTCCTCCTCCTCCTCCCACTCCTCCTCACCCACCTGCTCAACATGCTTCACCTCCTGAGCCTCTCCCACTTTCTCCCCCACCCACTCCCCATCCACCGTCCTCCTCCCTGTATGCCTTTGTATCCTCATGCTTGCTCTCCTTATCTCCTCACCACACTCCTAGTCCCGGTCCTCCGCCTCTTCCCTGGAGAAAGCACTCTTCCCCTCCGCCTGCTCCCTGTCCTCGGCATCCGCCTGCCTTTTCCATGTCGGATCCCTCTGATCATTGTGAGAGACAGACCAGCGCAATTGAAGTGTGCGGTGAATTCCTATGCTCGGGCACATCCTGCAAACACTTCCCTTCATTGCATGCTCACCTCACCGACGTCGTCGTGGTCGTCGTCCTCACCCTCATCATCATCATCATCATCATCATCATCATCATCATCATCATCATCATCATCATCATCATCATCACCATCATCAGCATCATCATCATCATGGCATGATCAGCATCAACATCAATATCAACATCAACATCATCATCACCATCATCAGCATCATCATCATCATCATCATCATCAGCATCATCAATATCACCATCAGTTATCCTTATCAGTATCATCATTCGCTTCATCGTCATCATCATCATCATCAGCAGCAGCACTACCAGCATCATCATAAAAATACGATCAAGATCAGCATCAGCAACGTCATCATGATCAGCAGCATAATTATTACCACCGTCATCGTCATCATCAGCATTAGCATCATCATCAGCATCAGCATCATCAGCACCGTTATCATAATCATATTCATCAGCATCATCAGCATCATGATTATTATCATCAGCATCATCATGACCAGTATCAACAGAATCATCATCACCATCATCAGATGCATCATCCGCAGCAGCAGCAACATCATCCATTATAGGATCATCCTCATCATCATCAGCAGCATCATCATCAGCACCATCATCATCATCATCATCAGGAGCAGCAGCATCTTCATCATCATCAGCAGCAGCATCACCAGCATCAGGAGCATCAATCATCAGAGGCAGCATCCGCATCATACTCATCATTATCATCATCATCATCATCATCATCATCATCATCATCATCATCATCATCATCATCATCATCATCATCATCATGTGATGCCTCATCCTAGCCCCCTATCCCACGCAGAAAAATTGCACGAGGAGCACTGTAAGGAGTCCAAGGCAGTGTTGCTGGCGACGCCCATGGCTCCCACAACGCCTCGTCATCCTCCGCTTCCTCCTCCTCCTCCTCCTCCTCCTCCTCCTCCTCCTCCTCCTCCTCCCTCCTCCTCCTCCTCCTTCTCCCCCTCCTCCTCCTCCTTCTCCCCCCCTCCTCCTCCTCCTCCTGCTCCTCCTCCTCCTCCTCATCCTCCTCCTCCTCCTCCTCCTCCTCCTCCTCCTCCTCCTCCTCCTCCTCCCCCTCCTACTCTGGACGCCCCGCCTCGCCTGTGCGGCGATCAGGGAGGCAAACGTGTCCGGCAAACTGGTGCCAAGCGCCACCTGCGCGCGCGCTCACCGCGAGGTGAACTCTGACTTCCAGGTCCTCCTCCTCCTCCCCCTCCTTCTCCAACTCGCCATCGTCATAACACTCATCAGCATCATCAGCATCATCATCACCATCATCATCGGCATCATCATCATCATCATCATCATCATCATCATCATCATCATCATCATCATCATCATCATCATCATCATCATCATCATCATCATCATCATCATCATCATCATCATCATCATCATCATCATCATCATCATCATCATCAGCATCATCGTCGTCATCATCATCATCATCATCATCATCACATCATCATCAATATCATCATCAATATCGTCATCATCATCATCATCATCATCATCATCATCATCATCATCATCATCATCATCATCATCATTATCATCACCATCAGCATAATCATCATCATCACCATCATCAGTATCATCATCATCATCATCATCAGCAGCAGCAGATGCATCAGCATCAGTATCAGCATCAGCATCATCATCATCAGCATCATCATCAGCAGCAGCATCATCATGATCGTCAGCATCATCATCATCATCATCAGCATCATCATCAGTATCATCATCATCATCATCATGATCATGATCAGCATCATCATCATCATCATCATCATCATCGTCAGCAGCATCATCATCAGCAGCATCAGCATCAGCATCAGCATCAGCATCAGCATCATCAGCATCATCATCATTATCAGCAGCATCAGCATCAACTTCCTCGCCCGTGCGCAGCCAGCGAGATACTGTCGGCGCAGACTAAGGCCGCTCGTCGATCAGCCTGCCGCACGCACTCCAGGGCCAGCCCATCATCATCATCAGCATCATCATCAGCATCAGCATCAGCATCAGCATCATCATCATCATCATCATCACCATCATCATCATCATCATCATCATCATCATCGTCACCACCAAAATCATCCACATCATCGCCATCATCATCAGCAGCATCAGCATCGCCATCATCATCGCCAGAATCATCATCATCAGCATCATCATCAGAATCACCACCATCATCATCATCACATTCAGCATCGTCACCATAATCATCGTCCACACCATCATCAGCAGTACGTACACCACCATCGGCATCAGCAGCATCACTATCATCATCATTAACATCAGCAGCAGCATCATCATCATAATCATCAGCACCATCATCACCATCATCATCACCATCACCATGTTGATCGTCACCTCTCCTCCTCCTCCTCCTCCACCTCCTCCTGCTTTTCCTCTGCCTCATCCTCCTCCTTCTCCTCGTCGTCCTCCTCCTCCTCCTCCTCCAAATCCTCCTCCTCCTCCCCCTCCCCCTCCTCCTCCTCCTCCTCCTCCTCCTCCTCCTCCTCCTCCTCCCCTCCCCTCCCTCCTCCTCCTCCTCTCCTCCTCTCCTCCTCCCCTCCACCCCCCCCCCCCCCCCCCCCCCCCCCCCCGCCTCCTTCTCCTTCTCCTCCGCCTCCTCCTCCTCCGCCGCTTCCTCATTGTCCTCCGCCTCCTCCTCCTTTTCCTCCTCCTCATCCTCCTCCTCATAGTCCTTGTTGTCCTCTTCCTTCTCCGTCTCTCCGTATCATGTCTAGTTTGTTTTATCGTAGCATGATTCTGCTTTGTCGTAATAGTATGGGCATTATCATTCGTACGGCTACCAGTATCATTGATAGTAAAACTAGCAGCCGCATCATTGTTATTAGTGTTACTAGTATCATAGTTACTACTATTATATATGTTGCTACTAGTTTGGTATACGAATGCTTCCTAGTGTCCCAATATCGTTGTGAGTTGTGTTAAACGTATACTTGCTAGTATCCCTCGTAGTAGCCTTATTGGTAGCATGAGTACTCGCACTACTATCCGTAGTAGTAGTATTAGTTTTCGCAGTCATTCTTCTACCATGGCTAGAAGTAAACGCTTGCGTCGTCTTTGAAACACCATTCATCTGAATTGTAGTATGCTTCGTTTTCATAACAGCATTCGAAATAGTAGTTGCAGTGGTGTTAGTATGTCACGGAGTCGTAGTGTTGGTTGTCGTATTGCTCATATTTCATGTACGCATAATATTATGATCCGTAATAGCATTAGTAGTCGAAGTAATTGTCGTAGTGTTACCAGTATGCTTAGTAGTACGGTAAGTAATAAGTTGTTGACTAATCGGATTCGTCTTCACTCCATGGTTGAATAATAACAGTATGAGCCGTGTTCACTAGTAGTCATAGTAGTATGACAAGTATTACTCTTCACAATATGTGAATTCGTGGCCGTCGTCGTATTATTATTGGA